TATTTTAGGGCACCAACATTAGGATTAGCACCCTGCGGTGTAGCCCGTTTCTAATGAGCAGTAACCAAATAGAAAATACCACTCTTGGCTTGGGTGGTACCTGTAATGATATTCCTCTTACAAATTAATCTAGTAGACACGATTTTCCGTCCGCACGCCATCGAAGCTATAAACCCTATCCTACCGTTGTCCATTTGTTACGGATTGTAGACTTGTCTACAGATTTCAACAATTTTGCTCTTCACAATTACGTCCGTTTGATGATTATCGATCCATTGAGGATAAAATAACAAAAAAACGCCTTGGTAGCCGTTTTTATATACCCTGACAGTTTTGTTCATTGCGCTCACGACCCAAAAATTGTTGAGAACTAGTGACCAGGGCCTTTTGAAAATGTCACTGATAGTGCTGCCAGACCGTCACCTTTATAAGTCTCATGTAGTGATTCATTGGCCGAAATATTGTGTACGTGACCTACTGAGTAGGAATCACTCATAAGTCCGTTAAGTAATGTCCTAATTAAGATAAAACGACATCTGATCTACATAGACAAAAAGCAGTTCATCAGCCTCGAGGTGCTCACCCAAACGACCAATGATCGGTCAAGGTCGACGTGGGTGAATAAGCCCTATATCACTCCATGCAAGCCCAACTTTGCACTTCCCCTTACAACGCACTGAAAATGTCATTTCGGCCAGTGATGAAATTCCGATACGCAAATTGCTTAGCCCAAGAGACACATCAGCGTCCACTACCAGTTCTGATCGGGTTTCCGAAATTCATTGACAGATGGTACAGCATGAATCAACCCTACTGAAGTGCATCACACTCGTTTCGAGGTTAAAAAGGGAAATGCCTATCACTAGCTTCAAGGTGAAGCCAAAACAACCAAATTCTTGTTGAATTTCGATTTGCTGACGTATAGATCAGGTACCTTCGTTCATCATGATCTGGTAGTGTATCGATTTGAAAGGAAAATACAATTATTTATAGTGCACTGCTTTTTATGGCCAAAATTATACAGTGCCCTTTTGTTGCTCTCAGGAGTATAACTTCTTTTCGCCCTAATACTTCCGTACGTCTGTCTGATTCAAGTATTTCCTTCTAGCATAAATTCATCTGTGTAGAATTAACCTCACAAAACCTAAAGTTTAGGAATTAAACCCTCAAAATTGTCTGCATGGCAATAGCATTTAAGCAGACGCTACAGAATGTGTCGCCTAGATAACTGACATGCTTAAACGAAACACTGCAAAATGTTTTGTTGGCATAATATGACCTGCAATCAAAAATGAGTGCCGCGAAAAGTCCTATCTGTTTCGCAGTGGCGTTTCTCGACAAAAACTGGGTTCTTTTCCGCTGGACAGTTGTGAACAGTGAACTCTAGTTGCACGGCTAAACGACCAATATACTAGGAAATAGGTATATTTTCACCATATGATCTTATGCAGACTAACGAGTTCATCTAGAACTTCCTCTAAATAAAACTCCTAAAGGCAAAATCTTGTTTTCGAAAAAACTTAGGCTATCGCTGAATATCATCACTGAGTGTTTGGCCGTGACAAACACACAATAGGTACCAAAGTTAGAAAAACTAAGCAATACCATTTGAATTTACTTGAATTTACGCAATCTCGAGTGCCACGTCAAAACTACCCGGTGGACTATGAAATGTCTCCCGTCTACCCAGCCACTGTCGCTCTGACTATCATTTTCTGCTTGCACAGGTAGATGTGCATACTTTATAATGTCCGGGGTAAGCGGCCGTACAAATTTGAAAAGCTTGGACTTGTGGACTTGTGTACATATATGACAAGAGGTAACTGTGTGCTGGCCTGTTCAATGCCATGTAGGAGATGCCACCTGGTTGGGCAGAAAATTTGAGGTATGGTGTAGTGAACATATGTGTATGGCTCTCTCCTAAATACACACTAGTCAGAGAAAATAGTTCAAAAGAGCTTTCTTTGAAACAGCTAACACCAGTGATACAATCAAGTATAACTGGGGTTACTTAATTTTTGCAGGAAAAAGCCGTCAACTACAACCTTTCCCATAAGCGACTACAGTAGCACAGTGCCAAAGATTATTCCAGAGAGATGCGTCCAAAAATCTGATATTCCAATCTATTGCAAAGCTTGTAAACCAACACCTCCTTCAATGAGGTTGAGAATTACCAGTGGTTCGCATCTCACGAGTCACCATCAACGTTTTGGTTAGTAAATCGGTACTATCCTACTACTATACCATACTGGTACTATATACTAGGTGCTGAACATCATGGTGAACTTGCGACTCAACATCTCATTATCAACAAAACGTGAACAGTGCTCAGAACAATCTGACAACTCGCATGAGGCTCCGGTCTGAGAAGAGCAGGCCGACACGTGATTACGTGATCGCGTCACGTAAGTTGCGGACTAGGTGAGGAATGACAGTGTTTCCGGCCAGTACTAGATATCACACTGTTTAACATCTGGCCGTGAACAAATTGCGCAGTCCTCAAAAACTATCCGGGAGGCCCGAGTTCGCATCCACCGGATGCTCATGAGACAAATAGTGCCAATGGTTCCAAACTAGTGTGAAGCAACTGTACACCGCCCTTTGGCTTTTCAGCATAGGATCAGTTTGTGTGTAGGGTGGAATAGCGGATGATACAAGTGAATGATGAGCATGGGTTTTCACAATCCCAAAAGGGGATCCAGTTCTTACCATGTTGCAAGACTGGTGAACAAAACTCCGTCGAGGCCAAAGAATGCTTAGACGTGGATTTAGGATTATGAGCTCTGAACACGAAATACAGGCAGCCTAATCGTGCTTGACGAACGTGATGGGTCCTGAACGAGGTGAAACGCATGGAGGATTATGTCCCAAACAACAAAACACTTCCACCTGACAATGCTTCACGTAAAAACACACCAGGCTTTTCGCTTTGAAGTTGTCACGTCCTACTCAAAGAAGACGCAGACACGGGCAATATTCCGACTATTCACTAATTGCTGAATTTCTACATGCCTTGCTCCAAATGAGGCATGTGAATGCTTTCTGTTTGATTTACGAGTATGAACTTCAGGCTTGAACTTCGGGTGGTAGAATTCCGTAACAGTTAATCACGAATACCACCCAGGACTAAAAGCTTATTGCATCAAACTTACTCGAAACATATAATTCAGATGAGTTACTTTATAAACTCTATGCAGCATGGACGTCCGTCCACTCAAAATTTCACCAAGAACATCTCGATAACCAGGCTTTAAAAGCGCTTGTCTCCTTTGAAGCTCAATAACAGTGCACCTTAGAATGGGGGACTTGAACTCAGTCAAACCCTTCCTGGAGTAAGGAACTTTTGCTGTAGAAGAAGTGGCTTCCTGGAGATGCAGAACGTAGTATTTGAACGCAAACAAGTAGATAACCTCAGCAGAATTCAAAAATAATTCAGTTGTTATTCGCTAGTACTGAAGTCCCTTCATAATTGGAGTCAGGAAGTGTATATCTTTCGAACTGGTTCATGGTATCACCAAGTGATCGTTGCTTCGTTCACCAGTTTCAAATACGTTCCTCCCACAAGAAGGTAAAATCCGTTCCAATAAAACAAGGTTGAGAGAGTGCTGAATTGTTTACCATCCAATTGGTTGAAAGCTACATGACTTGTTTTGTTGTCTGTTGATGGTTACGATACATTGCCCTTTCGTGTTCTGAATGCTGCTTAGTGAACTTTCGACTAATAATCGACTTGTGGCAAGTTTCTTCTACCTCAGATATACTACTGGTGTAATCTAAGATCAAGCATCTTGTAATACATCGGATAAATGACTGACGTGCGGTAGATAAATGTCCTTACCCAAGTTATCCCACTCAGTAAACGTGGTTCTTTTTAGGTTTACCAATGGTAATGGATCGTGTACTCAGTCCACGCCCGGTAACCAAGGATAAAGCTTGCAAGACAGTGCAAGAAGAGTCAGCCAGCAAACGATGCTGAGTTTGATTGCGGGTAACATTTTGTATTTATGCGCGGCAAATTCAGCTGCAATCACTTTGGATTATCACGCACGAACAACCCAACCCTCAAAATTTGTCCAGTCATTGCCCATACAAACAAACCTGACTTAATAAGGAACTAATCCTGCTGACAGTTACCTGCTGGATGATAGTGTTACATGCTTAGCAAGTTAGAGATCTGCCTGAAGAGATTGACAATAAAACCATGAATCCGAAACTTCCTAGATCAAAAACATTTTGGTTAAGGTGAATAGATGCTTTCCCCTAAAATTTGATGCTCACTTGCAGCGCCAGGGACCGTTTAGCTTTTTTCTACTCCTTTGCAAGTACAAGCATTATCGTTAGAATATTGACTCATTCATCAAAACGCTCTCTTTTTCGGACTGTGTACATGCTGAAGAAAGATTAATGTCTTCATACATCCTTCAATAAAACATTTACAATGCAGGGATCAGAAAAGAAACCCAGTTTTGCATCTCTCGTGCCGGTCTTTTTTTAGGCAAATAGAATCTGTCTCGGACAAGATTTGAAAGATCATTGTTAGGGTCTGTACCAGATTCCACAAGACCGGAATAGAGCTACTCTTTTTGGAGGAAATCGTCTCCCTTGGGTACTGTCGTAGTTCTGTACACCACCCGGCTGAGTTCCATACCCACTATTTTGTAGATATCAGGTCCTCACTGAGAACCAGTGACTATTCCGATGAAAACAATCCGAGAAGTCAACACTGATAAAAATGTTCGGATACGTCAATCAACGCTTACACGAGATATCACGTCTAATTAGTTTTTTGTCTACCCACAAAATACACCTTCCTTTATCTGCATGTGTCTATCAATTTATACGTACATTAGGAACTTCAAATAACTTTCTGTGGCTTTATCGTTTCGAAGCGAGATTGGTAATCCCTGTCCTTCCTTCCTTTGAAAACAAGAACGAACGAGTATGCATGCAATCAGACAATTCCACAGCGGAAACCTCTGCTTACTTTTCAAAAGTACTACGGCCTCCTGCTTGTTATTTTCACATGATGCATGAAAAGAGGGGTAGTTGGGAAATTTACACACGGTTGTCTAAACCATGTCGATTTTATCCGTTTTACTGGTACGTATGACACACATAAATTACCCCTGTGACCACCACGCGATTTAGCCACTGGCATTGCGATGATCAGTACAAGAACAGCTTTGGAATCACAATTGATAAGTGGCAGCTGGCCTCAGCATTACCGGTAGACGTGATTTGGAGATCGGCTAAAATGAAGAGGAAGAGAGTACGCTTTAGAAACTTCTAGCAATCTTCTGATGATAGTCTCTCTAAGTCCGTCACTGGAAATCTGTAAGGATCGGTTTTTTAAAAGTAATCTAACTACAAGAAGCATAAGCAAGGTTGGTACGGTGCAAATAATTTTCACAGAACCGAATGTTGTGTAACGCGTAAACCGTTGATGTCGACTTAAACGGAAATAGCTTAACTGTAACACCCTTTTGGTGCCTAACTGTCGTGCGACCAGAAGGAAACACGAAGGCTGGGATGCTGCCAGGTTGCCCAAACCCAGATAGAAGTCGAGAGGCAGAGGTCGGGTTCGAACCACGTACCTTCCGGCCAGCAAATTGGCTCTCTAACCACTGAGCCATCTCGCCCCTGGTGTAAGGGCAGCACACATTACAACCGCTACTATGCATGCGAGGCGTGGTAACCTCAACGGTGCCCTTCCACCACATAGCAGATCTGGAGTTGATTACCTCATTCCATGGTATAAACGTGGCCATCCGACAGGAAAATGAAGAAACAGCCGTCTGCATGAACAATAGCTAGTCCTGAGCCGGAAATCTGTGGTCAAATAAACAATGAGTTCAATATAAGCGACGAACACGTCATGAGACAGAACACGGTTGGACAACTCCCGAAGTCATCTTATCCGATAAATCGTACAACTGGAACATTAACATGGGTGCTTGCCATCAAATGATCATCACAGACAATAAACACCAAGATAAACGGGTGTCAGAGAATCACCAATGCACACCTACACACATAATTTAATAGACCCAGGAATAGCTTGGTGCAAGTCACTCCGATTATCGTTCCATTCTGGTAGTGTAAAAAGAATCGAGAGTTTAAATTAAAGCTTCGTATGATAAGCTGAAAATCTGACAAGTGCTGTTCAGCTGTTTTATCCTTATTAGGAATCATCAGTAGTGCCATCAGAGTGCCTGAAACCCGCAATCTCTCGGCTGTTAGGCTGAACAATTAACCGTTCGGCCAGGAGCATCTGATCATTGTGATGTTGTGATCATTGTGATCATTGTGCTGGGCATTGTGATAAGCTCCTAGTTAGACAGGATTTAGCCCGGCTCGTCCTTTAGTCACGGAAAGCACATCATCTGCTCACGCACTGACTGGCTTTTGGGACGAAATCTTGGCGGGACTTACTCGCATTACCATCAATCAATAAGTAGTTCAGAAAAAGAATAATTTCGCAAGATCAGTGAGATTATCATCTGGGAATCATCGCCAGAGGAGCAAGCCCACACTGCGATCACTTGATCTGGTTCATGTGACCAAAGGATGACCGGAACTTTATCCTACGTTTGTGTGAGCTTACCACAGTGATGATCAACCACTCGTGGTCAGACGAATAAGTTTTCAAGCCACTAACTAGGAGGTTACGGGCTCGATGATTCCAAGTTAATGGGGCAATAGATTTCTAACCTATGCTGCTCCTAAATAAGTGAAATATGGGTTGAGCCTTTGTTAGTGAACGGATGACCTTGAGACCAAGAGGGATATGTTCCGTTATAACGAAAGTGGTTTCCTCCGTACATATTTTAGAAGTGAAAATCACTCCTGCAGATTCAAATGGGCTGGATGTTTCCGGTATAACCTGAGACAATTGGAAAATGGAACAAAATATAGGATAACTAATCTTTTGAATCTCTTTCATCCTCTGCTGCAGACTCCGTTGTCGTTACAGATTCTACGTGGCTGGAAATAAAAAACCGTGTTTTGTTCGGTGTAGTTCGCTGATGGACGTATACTGGAGAAAACCTTAGTTAGCACCAGGCTTCGTCTTTGTAAAATCTTCGTGTACGCTGTTGATGAAGGGCCGTGTAAGTAGGGGGTGCTCGGTTGTCTGGATCTCACCCGTACAGTGACGACGAGCAACTTCCTTCAGCGATCAATATCAGCTCCCTGCAAATTTAGTGTATGGCTTTTGTGCGCTGTGTTTCAAACTAAACAGACTCTGATTGAACACAATGCTGTAAAACCGAAGAAGAGCCTCTCTAAGCTAAGGAATAGTGACAGTTCTAGCAAAAAAGCTAGCCAGATTTCTAGTGCTAAGGCCCTCAAATATGACACTGACTTTTCTCTTCAATAGAGTTCCCCGTAATTCTGATGGCGAGCAGAAACGCCGAAAGATGAAGGTCTGTCACAAAATGTATCGTTTATATCCTGTGGGTCGATGCCAGCGCGTCTAAGAGCAGAGTTGAACTTGGCCTCCGCACGTTTTCTTGCCACTTCCTGTGATTGTCTTGTGATGAGCAGAGGTTTCGATGCCACGCGTTTTCTCATTTCTTCTAGTTCTCGTTGGTAGTCAGCATCCTGATGTCTGAGTAAGGAAAGTTGGATGAGGCTGTTACCCTGTACTCCAATGAACCAGTTAAATAAATATCTCACTAGACATGTACTATTATTACTTCCCAACTACTCAACATTTCTTGATGGGGAAAACATCTCAGGGTGAAATGACTTCATGTTACGGAGTCAGGTAGAGAAACAAAACCTAGGTATTTCTAGAAGCAGCACCAACACCAGAACATTGGTAGTTTCTGGTTTGGTACTGACTGGCCACTACTGTTCAAGCGGCTTATGAATGAAACAGATTTGAGAAAGTTATCCATGACTGGAGGTTGCATGCTTAGGCTCAGAGGCAGGCAGCAATAAATGAAAACAACGGCCCACTCAAGCAGTCCGTAATGTATACATCGCATAAAAATCTCTCAAAATGAAAACCACGATAATCGTATATTTCCACTGAACACTACTCACATGAGGGTCTGTTTTCTTTGCTCTGTCATTGCATCTATAACCTTTGTTGGTTGTAGAACGCGATCGTCGAGTGACTCAGAAATTGCCTTGGATATCTCCTTTTGCCTTGTTCGAGTAACCAGTTCGGCCTCCTTTTCTTTCTCCGTTTGAAACCTCATTTTCTCAATAGATCGGCTGTAATAGTGGGCGGAAAATGGAAAAACATTCGATCTGCGACTGAAATATGCAAGAGCCCTATCGTCGACTTACAGGCTTTGGGAAGGTAACCGAAATAAGCGAAGCAAAGTGAAGTGTAGTAAATCAGACCAGTCCAAAGCTATCAAGGTTGTTGGAGGATAAAATATTCCAAATGAGGGAGAAACAGCTGTGCAGTGCTTCTCGGCCGTTCAGCATAGATTGGCTTCACTCACAGGACGAAATCTCTACAAAGATTCCCAAATCTTCTCATATTACCAATAAAATATTCTGTTGATATGCGAAAAGGTCTGCATCAGTTGGCAAAAGAACGAACGGTTACGCTGGGACTGACCTTGGGCAGCAAAACGTGAGAACAACCAGATGGTAAGCTTTGTGGAAGCAATTCACAGCTGTTTACCTTTGTATTATGAAACAAGAGGACCGGGCAGCAGAGAAATGAAAGCCTAGTTGCAAATATTCTGTTAGTAAAATTATAACAATTTCGTTGGTAGCAACATGGTGGTTTGGTTCATAGTTATTACTGAATAAAAACTCCTCGATAAAATTTACTGTGATTCCGGGAAATCCAGTAGGCTGGGCTAGCCTGCCAGTGGCGAAAGTTGACAAGAAGAACCCGCTCCGACGTACGTGAGTACATCATGAGTCCAAAAAATCGTTCAGCTGTAGCATCCTTTCGGTGCCTAACTGCCATGCCACCCGAAGGTTGCGCGAGGGCTGAGATACTGCCAGGTTGCCCAAGCCTAGACAGGGGAAGTGGAGAGGCAGAGGTCGGGTTCGAACCACGGACCTTCCTGTCAGTAAGTTCGCGCTCCAACCACTTGGGCCATCGCGCCCCATCATGAGTTCGATAACCCACAGTTAATTTTAGCTTTATCCGTATTGTGTAGACATGACATGTAGGGAAGTCGCGTCTTGCTGACCAAACTGACGAGGTGTTTCTCACGTCTAATGTATCCAAGTAAAGGTGTGGTGTACGTCATCGGCCGAACATTCAGGCGTAAAATTCCACACTGCTTTTGAAAATTGATGCTTGTGATCAAACTGGAGAGCTTTCCGGTTCGCAAGGTAGAAGTCGGTTCACCACAAGAGCTTGAAGCAGCACATTCTGCTTTGTCTTGCGGTGAATGTGGAATGGGACAGTGAAACCGTACATTGTCGACCTATGATGGTCCAACTAAGTGACAGAGTGACTAAACTCAAGTGACTTCGTAGTGCTTCAGAGAGACCGCTCTAAGACTAGGCTATCTTTGGCAGGTACTTCGAGCGCGCTCCCCTCTTGAGACAAAGGAACATGCAGAAGCAATCAGTTCTACGTGATTCTTTCGAGAGATAACAATCGCAGCCTCTACAAGGAAATGTGAATTAACCAAGTATGGTGTGGTGAGATAGAAAAGGCTCCATCCGAAGATTAAGGCCAGTAGTGCAGTGATACCTTCCGTAAGACAGAATTGCGGAATCGTCAATCTTGGTGATACTACTTCCTCTATAATTAATTTCATTCGCGAAACAGAACTCTGGAAAGCACTGACTATGATGTAGACTTAACAGAGTAAGTGCACCGGGACATGAAGGGGACTACTCAGGCGAAGTTAGTTTGAAGGTAAACCTTCACTCTAACGTCTGAATGCACTACACACACACATACTAAGTTCCATGTGCCGCCCGTCTCTAACAACTCACCGTATATGGTTTTCTCGTAGCATCGTGCCGTGGGATTTTGCTGGTAGAGGCATGTCGAATGCGTGCTGCAGATATCGGGACTCAGAAGATGCGCCTAAATAAGGCAAATAGGAAATCAACACATTTGACCAGATCACCACTACCGTTAGAATTTCATAGAATTCTCGTTAAAATTTTACCACCTAAGAAGAAAAATCAGCTCATTCCTATAAGCAGATCAGAAAATTTCTGTCTCCAGGGGTTGCATATATGTCTACATTCTGTATGTAACATCCACCGGATTTTCTTTAGTCGGAGATACGGGGATAAAGCAGATATACTCAGTAGTGGGCAAGTGTCTAGTACCAATAGAAACTTCACACCATAACACATGAATTCATGCAACTTAAGGTTTAATTCTGACATGATTAGAGCCCAACGCCAGAAGAGTCTAAAGATACGGTATAGCTGCAAACTATCAGTCCTCGTGGCGAATGACTTTATCGAGAACTAAGTCCACCATGAGCCATGTGGTTTCAATAATATTGCTTTCCGGGATGCGAAACCACTGATAACTTGTTTCAAAACCATAATTACGGTTCAAACGTAGTTCATCATTTCCCACATCTCCGTAAGATGTGTTGCTCACATTTCATTAGCCTGTAGTAAACAAGGAGTAGTATTTCTGATTCACCAGGAAACTCTCACTTACGTTTTCGAATGCATGGGTCTTCTTTTTTCACATGGAAAGAATCCTCTGGTATAGAAGAGACACCGCGCTCCAAGTCCTGAGTTGTGTGCCTTCCACTGAAGCTTGATCTCCGTTCAGTGGTGCGCAATTTAAATGGTTTTGGACAAGTCGGATCTGGTGGAGGTTGCCAGATTTTGCGCAGAGCCTTCTCACTCTCCCAGTGCACTTTTTTGAAGTCGGGAGCCGGTCTTGCCTTGAACGGTTTCCTTTGGTCAGCTTCACTCACTGAAAGGACGCAAAAGTAACCAAGACAAGTTAAACTCCCAAAATTACTTGTGTTAGGAACGAGACGCACAGGCAGTGGATAGAACCAATTTTTAGCGAGATGGAAACGTGGACGGCTGAGTTTTTGAACTTTTTCAACGATAATGACCCCAAGAAAGTGATGAAATCTTGCAAGAAACATGCTTTGTGATGCACAAAATAGTTGTTCACAACTTTTATATGGTAGTACATGTATAACTAAAAATTCAACTTACTGGGAAATCCTCGCTCATGCGCCCGTGCCATGCGTTCAGCTCTTCGAAGTTGGGAACGAATTTGACGCTCTTCCATGCCAGGGGGCAGGGCAGCAGATTGAAGAAGGCGTTCCGCTCGAAGGTGTCGCTTGATTTCACGCAAAAGTTTGTCATCCTCAACCTTACTGCTACGTCCTTGGGGCACATGCCCACGGCCCTTGGGCTCAGCAGTCCGACCTCCCTCGCGCTCAGGTTTCCGAGCAGACTGACACCGGAGCTGATTTCCCTCCTTGTCAAATTTCATAGTCTCAGATGCGCTTCTAAAATTTTAACAAGCGAAACCACTTTGAACCCACACCGATAGAAATGAATTTCCACTTGGTGTTGCAGCACCGGGATTCTTCTTATCTGAATCCTTCCGAATACGTCTGTTATTTCACGACTTGGTCTCTCGGAAAAAACAAAACAAAGTAACCCTGCTTGTAGGAGGGGACCCACGTTAATCACCGAAAGGCAGTCCTTGTTGGAAATGTGCTATCACACAATCGACCAATAAGACATAAACCTGTGCCTTTGACAACAATACAACGGAACACCTATCCTAGAGCTGTTGAAATACCACCGTTTTAACGAACGCCGCCTATTTTGTCACTAACATCGTCAATAAGATATTTATGTTAAAAGTTCCTACCTTACACACACTGCCTTAAATATCTCAACAGAGACGCGTTTGGTTCAAAGAATACTTCCAACGTGGTTATTTGCACTTTTTCGCACCTCACATTTTAACACGTTGGCAACTACTTCCCTAAAAGAGGAAAGCTACCTACCATATCCACACGGCGTTATGGCAACACTGTTTAGTTACTCTGAGCTATAACAGGCAAAATACCCCGAAACTCCGTACAAACAGGTTCACTACACGACTACCCACCCACATTATTACAGATGTGCTTGCAACGTTTCGAAACCAAGATATAAGATACATAACCCCAATCGTGCTCTTGTCCTCATCCATGAAGGTCAAACTTCAAATGTCACATCGTGTTTACACAGTCCGTTCAAGAGGCAGTGGAGGACTGCCATGTGTGGAGATGACGAGACCGATAAATGAGTCAATTTTGAGTTGAAACTGGTAGAGCCGAATCTCTGTCGAATAAATCTGGCCAGTCTGGAGCTCCTGCACCTTTTCAGGAAGATTAAATGAGGGTAGGGATCAAAACTGTTCCCTTCTGATTAACCACTGGACCAGACTGTATGGCGTCCATCGAACTTTTCGGAAAAAAGCTTTCCTTTGATCATCAAAAAGTGATTTGCTTTGGACTGCGAATGAGCTCTCATCTACAAAATAATTTCCGCACTCCACAAGATAGTGAGCCCTGAAGAATAAGTCCTGGTGCGTATTCTGGGCAAATTTTCGCACTGCGTTCTTACGTCCTCGAAGGTGTATATACCACCTCGGCGAAGACCAGTATCAGGAGGTGAGAACTCGCAGTTGGTGCCTTAATGGGTACTTCAATACAACACACCATACTGGTTTAACTTTGATCACATGTTGGTAAAAGGCTCCTCAAAGGGGGCCAAGCATAAGACTGCAGGATATTAAATGAGCACTCGCTCACGAATATCCATTAGCTGAAGCGGCATCTTTCCAAGAATTTCATTTAGGTCGCGCCATCTGAAAAGGCTTCCACAAAAGGCCTACCGAAATTGGTCAATTTGATGCTTGATACAAACAGCGAAACAGGCTCAATTTCAAGTAATCTTATCGGAAAGATGATCTCCACAGAAAAGGAAAAATGCATTCATGACGTTCACTCTTTTTCAACTTTTTTAACTTTCAATAACCTGACGCAAGAATCTTACCTTCAGATGACTAGTATATCAGCTGATTGGCCCAAGGGTATATGCAAAACTTTTACCCCATGGCTTTTTATGAAGAATTTGTTCCAAAGGTACACTTATTGGCTGATAGGAGAGGAGTGGTTTCAAACAAGTTACCAAGACCACGGGATAATGTTTAAGTTGGTAGTAGTTTCTCCCAGAGAATCTTACTAGGTAGAGTGCAATATTTACTTCAAAGCCTGAATTTGTATGCCATCGAACTTGTGAGATTTTGGGCCTAAACATAATGTCTACCCTGGATAAAAGGATGCCCGTGGATATCTGTGGACACCTGATGTTTGAAATACGCTGGGAATTTTTGAATTCAGCTGGGCTGGACTTTAGAGCTAATAATTTTCAATGGACAGACAAGTGTAAACTTAATTTGATATTTCAGGATTCTGACCAGATAGAAAACAATACTATAAGTTTGTTGTGGCAAGGTTATATCAAAATTTGAACACCCCTGACATCAGCGGAGAGAACATATACATTATAAAGAATTAAGTTTAGCTCCAATCAAACAAATCGGTGTCCAAACACTATGCAAGACTAGTGGAAATTCAGAGAGTACGTCTGTCTGACGAGCTCTATAAAGGTGAAGCGCGATAACGTAAATACACCCGATCAGGAAAATCCAATCTATATTTTGAACATCATCGCAGTTGTAACCTGAAGCACATTCTTATCAATGCTTTCAGTTTCTAGTCTGAACACTTCCGATCAATTGATCGATTGGTTGATTGATTGATTGCTGGATTGGTTGGTTGGTTGATTGGAGCAAGACTAATTGATTAACTTTTATACATATTACGGTAAGGCGCTAACTATGAATTTCGAGCACAAACATATGACTTAGAGTTCTGGTGCTCAAACACTCTGGTGCTGTCCGATCTTGAATAACCCAGCAACATTTTACACTTGCACGTTTTTGCGTTCTGTGGCGCTCGTGCCTACGACTCGGTTTCTACATAACAATCAAGACTACGTTAAAAACGTACGCAGAACGGTCGTTTCTGAATTTTTCTCTCAGTGTAAAGCTGAAAGGCTTTTCTGTCTGCTTCAGTATCTCCTGACTGTACGCTTTAACCGCTTCACGCCGCCTGGCATTCTCCTCCGTAATTTGTTCATATCGCGGCAGATACACATGGGCCGGAATGGGTTGTGCACGGAATCGTCCAGCCCCACCGCTTTCCCCTTCTCTGGAAGGACACTCAACTTTCTGTTTCTCGTCTTGAAGTCGGAAAGAGGTGCATGATGTACAAGCCTCTGGCTTTTTTAATTCCTCTCTTTTCGACATGTTGAACGGCTTAGGGATTGTAACGTGATGTCTCCATTCGGATGATGTAGATTCGCGAAATTGCGCATCCCCTCTGTTCATACACTCGCCAGGTTTCTCTACAAAATGTTGAATATTGAGGGATGAATTGAAAGATATTCATAAGTTTATACTCAAATTTTAGATTACATAACAACTTTTTTTTAATTTTGACCAAAAAACAGTAACGAAAATACAAGACCTTTGCATGGAGTCTCCACGCATACATTATTCCTTGACATCAAAATCATGATGTGTTCACTTTGGGTACCATAATTTCAAGCCACCCATGCATCATGTCAAGTTTGATCGCCTCAGTGACTAGCTGGAAATAGACCGATATGGTCATCGCTTTGAGCACCAATATACTCAAGTCGTAATCAATTCTGTGTCACCGGTGAGGTCTTCTTGTCGAACTAAAGAATAATGTCTGCATCCTACACCGGTAATGGGCACTATGCACAGAGTTAGACTAAATTAAACCCCTCTGTTAAATTATTTGGCCGAACACTAAGGCGGAGGGGAGCATAAACAGGTTCAGAAGAGGCCAGCCATATATGCAAAGCCCCCTTATGAAGCGAACCTAAGTAAACAACTACAAAAGTCCCACATGTCTCCTGCTCCTATCCAATTAGCACCAATGTATTCTGGTGAGACAGCCCCTCTGGTAGTTCTCTGGACAAGAGGGCTTCGGTTATTGGTGTCCACGGTACAAAATGAAACCACGGAGGACGGCTAGGCTCTCCAGGTAACGCTGTAACGACTTTACTTGCCATTCTGACACTAGCGAAAGCCGGTATCTTTCACAGTTCTGACATGTCTCGTATGGCGGACACGTTTTCTGTGTAACGACGGCCTTTCGAAAATACGTCCGACTGTCTGATACCCATTCACCTTCAATTTACTATCAACCACCTTAGTCCTAATCGATCTGAACCCCGCTCCTTCGAATTCGAATACGCTGTCGCATCAGTCGTCTGGTCCAGCGGGCCGAGTCAACCGTTTCACGCGACAAGAGCGTGTGTGCATCCGCTCTATCCCTTACTGGTAAGTAACTGGAGGAGGAGGAACTCGAGAAACTGCTGATCTGTAATCAAAACACTTTACATTCGGAATTCTAAAAAGTCTATTTATACAACGCTGAACCCCATGACGAAGTTTTTTTTATAGAATTCGTCACTTAGAATGCATTTGGCCAATTCTGTTCGCTGATTGGACTGCTAACTGTAATCCGTAAGCTACTGCAATCCGAGAGTGGAAGTAACTGAGGTGAAAATAGCCTTTCTCCGTACACAGTCGCACTAAACCAAATTATGATTGCAATGCGCAGTTACATTTGGAATTATAAAGATATATGGGTCCACCATGCATTCTAAATTGTGGTCCACTGGCATTTATTCACACCTCATATCAACGCTGCAACATGTCCCCTCATCACTCACCAAATCACGGTGTACCAACGATGTTACCTAGTTTAAACAACGAACCCGTTCGGCGGCGCACTGATTAGGTCTGGTGACAAAATGTGTGCATATAAACTGTCGAGCTCAACAAACATATCAACAGGGACCTGACCAACAACCGAGCTACTAGCATTTCGACACAACAAAACTTTCATCTGACTGAAGGGTTATTTTACTAAATCTAGACAACATCGCGCAAGACGCTGAATGAGAGTGCTTCCTGGTTACCTCTAGCGGGCAGATTCAAACAGCCAACTACTTCTTGCTCTTTCTTTCTAACTTTTAGTCACACGTCACCTCCATGTGACACCTCCATATAACTGGAAGAGAATTTCCCTAATTTTTGCACAAAAACGGGAACATATCCATGGTCGTTATCTGAACTGTCATTACAACATAGGAAAATCAGTCTGTATTGTTGCATTGTTGGCTAAATATATGTTGGTGTAACGCATATTATGGTCAAAGTATGATGGCCTGCAATGATGTACTTTACCTTTTGAGGTTTGTAATGCTTTTAGAACGGCCAATCCCTCCTAACAAGTTATTTGACGTACAGGAAATGATGGGTTTGAATCCAACCAGCCGTACCACAGAATAGAAACAACCTTCTAAACATGGAATCAAAGAATTTCCTAGATATTTAAAAACTCACAATATAAGCATCAGTATTGGCACTCTATCAGCTAGATAGGAGGCTGAAATCCGGAATAAGAGCAGACCTTAGCAACCCATGTGCAAAACCCTTGTTAATTTTTGTGTATATTGGCGGGGTCCATCAAATTCGTAGCGACATCGTTATCTTTCAAGCAGTTCCGCCCCAGCGCCGGTACGCCGAATATGAGTTTCACTTTTGTTCGAATTAATTAGACGTATACTTCCTTGAACTACGAAACCCCGACGTTCAGAAAAACCGCAAAAATGGATCAAAGTGTGGATACGGTCTCCTGTTGTGGGATGCTAATACTTTTCTTCAAGTTTGCACCACAGCAGTGACAAAAACGGACTTCTTCGAATATTTGAAGATGGCAATTCTGATGGACTGCAACAGAAGCAAGAGTCGAGTCCCTTTTCGAGCAGACTAAACATAATGACTACGCAAGTCACTAAGAGGGACCATACACCAAAAACTAATTGGACATAATATATATGTATATATATATATATGTACAATAAAAGACATATCGATCCTTGCTTACTGTCCCACCTTACGCTTCTAGCTGAAACTCTCGGCTGTTTGTTGTCCACCTTCACGATAAAATGCATACTTCTTCGGGATGGCGCATTTGACTGGAGTACCTGCATTTTATTCCATGGCACAAACTATGCCAACATCATCATTATCAGGTGTAAGAACCGCATACTTGTCGTACTGTGGAAATAGCCGCCACAATTTCTTCCATTAATTATTTGGGTAGATGAGCTACGTAGCTGTTCATAGGAGGCAACACTGCCGCAGTCCCCGGCCAAACCATGCCTATGATGGCCAACAAGTTTCTTATAGCAAATAAGGGGATTTGGTTGCATTTGAATCTAAAAACTAATAATAAACTAAACACCTCGACTACCCTAGAAGCAGTAATTCTGTGTGTGGACTAATCCCGAATGGGGAAACACTTACCAACAGATATGCTTCGGACATTTGGACGACTATCGTCTGAATATTTCAATGGAGAATATAATCGGAACTCAGATATGGGATTTTTCGCAGCACCATCCCACAAGTTTTCTACGGTCAATGGTGGATAGCTGGATGGCTCATTATCCTCTGACACCCCTTCCTGATCATTGGATATTAGTTTTTCCGGATTATGTGTTACTCCTTCTTTTTGCTTATCTGTCTTGTCTACGGGCGTTTCCGATCCAAAGTACAAATGTTCCACAATCTCCAAAGTTTCTTTGTGGTTTTTCCTCAACTGTGAAAGCTTTTCGAAAAATTCGGAATCGGAAATATTCTCCTCCTCAGTCAGTTTCTTAATTTTTGTTTGGGTTTCGTTCAATATTGCGTCCAATAACTTAGCAGTCTGTAGAACAGAAAAACTTGGTTAAACATCATGACTGGGCCTGCATTACCTGAGCCATATCTCCTTTGGTCACCGACAAAAGGTTTTCCAGGATTGCTTTAGCATGACATGACAAATTATTCTCCGTTTCGCTCTCTTTTACAAAACCATTATCTAGCGTCACATTAAACTTGGAAATTCCCATCGATGTTGATTGATGCAGGGGATGGAAACGGAAAATGTTGAAGATCCAAGAATAAGAGTTTCTGTCAACGAAAACGGAAAAATTCCATAAGGTTCATATCGTGCAAGCAGGGTAAAACACAACACCAGTGCCTGCACGCAAAATGAACAAAATGTCGATTGCACAATTCTGAGATTTGGCATGGTCTCAGTTTTTTTTAGAACCCAGACTTCATGTAGGTCCAGTACCCATTTACCTGAACACAGTCGATGAGGTTGGCATGATTTCAGGAATCATGATGATACAATTTTGCGGTTTTTGTGAGCTGTTCGATACTACATTGCCTACATTCGGTGTTTCTGTGACCAGTACGACCTGGAACGACGGTACCCAAACATACAAGTCAAGCCGAATTGAGAATACCAACCGAACAGCATAAAAGATCAACAAGCGCCGCGCCCAAAGATTGGAGAACTAGGAATGAGAACCTACCTTGTCATATCATGTGTAAGTTTCCAAGTGTGTGCTGACTAATGGACACGTTGAGTACACTGATAGCATCCTCTACAGTAAAGTGGTAAAAAATTAACTAACATATCGGTGTAGGTTTATTGGCGAACTGCCAAAACACCCCTAATCAAAAGTACTACCGTGACAGGGGGTACGCCTTTAATCCATAATCGTGTGTGCCAATGAACTGTAGAGTCTATATATTCTTCCAAGCTTGACTCATCAGAATGTACCTCGTAGTTGATGCTCGGTGGTTGATGCGCGAGATTATCTTTCGTGATTCGAACCCAACCTTGGCATCTCAACTGTCCGTGTTTCGGCTTAGGCAACCCGATTGTACCTCAGTCCTCGTGATTCCTTTAGGGAAATGGAAACTACGCATCGAAAGGGTGTTACTGTCAAAAGATCTTTCATTTATTATTATCTATCGTAATAGTCCGTTCTTACCTATCATCAATCTACCGACAAGAAATTGAAGTTCATGGGTTTGGTAAGGGCATGATAAAGTAGGACATTTCTGTACCAAACTTTCAGGACCAGTTTAAAATATCTTCTGAGCATAATATTATCCATGTTACGTCCGGCCCACGGTTGTGCGAACTACAATGCATGTGATCTACGAAAATGCCTTGTGGCCTGAATAAGTTCCGGCGATGCTTTAAATGTTTCATTAATAAATTTTGACAGCCTTCTTTTAGTCGAGCAGTGTCGAGTTTTGTTTCTTTAACGAAGCCGAACAGCCCGTAGTTTACTCTTTCTCACGGTGTAATCGTCTGAGAACATAGAATGTTCAAAAAAACTTACCAGTACATCGTTTAGTGCGCAATTTCGTCCACCATTACGCCAAAACTTTATTTAGAAGAACGAGAGTACTCGGCGTTGCTCGTATTTTTCCCTGCATTACAATAAGGCAGATTTCAGTTAAGAAGCTTCTTGGGCAGTGCCAAAATGCTCACCGGAGGTACTCAATGAAGACTAGCCTGTATTTAAACATACTGGATCACCATTTGCAGAAGTAAATTCAAAGTGTTGGGATTTTTCGCCCAACATGATCCGGTTCCTTCTTGATGTACATGATACTCCGTCCATCACCTCAGTGGAAAGGTTTAGGATGTTTTTATCGATGGAGGCCCTTGCTTGAGGAAAAGAAAGACACTTCACTTATCCAATTTACTGGAACACTTAGACCAGCATTGCCGGATTCGGACCACAAAGTATCCAGTGCAACAGTTGAACTAGAATCACTGCATCATTTTACACAACCATCCAATCTTGGAGTTTAATCCGTTGAAGAACCATTAAAAAACTAGGTTGTCCCGAATAAATTGTGGTTCTCTCGTGTCTCTGGATAAATAGAATGACCAACCCCTCTTCAAAATGCAGATGACTGTGGGATCAACTCAAAATGACTGCAGTACAAGGATAGAAAGTTGAATTACTCATCTGTGGAGGTGTGAATGGCAAAGCAAGAAGACCATCAAAGTGAGGCGATATGATTGATCTTAAACAGAACTCGAATATCACGTCACTTATATCGCTTGGGCCTGGAGCTTACAGCAGAGAAAATAACGCTCCAAGAGCCGGATGGCAGCTGTCTTGGCAGTCTGAAGTGAAGTAAGCTTTACAAACACGTGAGCCGCACGAACAATCATGGCGACATTTGCACATACATATACAGTTCGGGATAACGCACTAAAAATTTTACACAAGAGTGGCTTTTTCAACCTATCCGTCATCTTCGCAAATTGCAGATGTAGTTGATGAGTGCCGAACACTTTGCTGTCCAATCAATACCTAAACACAGTAAACAAAAGAACTACAATTATGTCAATCAGACGACAGCAAGGATTCACAACAGACATGAGGGAATTCCGCGGAGGTGACAAACACTGCTTATATTTATGTTGCATTTTTATTGTACTTCATCATAGCCCACCGTGTATCGTTGCGCCAGTACGAAACATTACATCACATGCGCACCCGAACGTCACCCCACTAACTACTTGACTAAGATGGAAGTGCAACACTATGATCGACATAATGAAATGTTCTTATGAGTGTATTTGAAACGCAGCCCTAAGATGTAATTCATTTACACAGATTCAAACTTTATTCTGATGAAATATTGGCCTGGATTGACTCGGACAACAGCACATCTCTATCATTTTGTTGAAGGAAGTGAATACAATCTTGCAAAAATTTGCCTCTCCTACAAAAATTCACAGCCAGCTACATGAAAATCTAAGGAATCATAGTTGATAACTTTTCAAACCAGTCCACTTGTTTTCAGCTGAGAGGGTTTCAGTTGATTGATTCCTCCGTTACATCGCTCATTCGTCTCGATGCTTTGCATGTAAATTTCGAAACAAGCGCTAAACGTGCTCATGGCATTCAAATTGAAGGTCATTTATGAAGCCGCTGAATCGCTGAAGCCACACTACCCGATCTGCAACCAAAGGTGATTGTGCAGACAGAACAAACTTCCTAGTAAGCGGAAGCTACAGCTCACAGAACCTAAGTAGGTCTACTCGATTCGGCTGACCATTTAGACAATGGGTTAGAGTCAATTCACCGGGACTCAAGCCTCTAATTAATTCTATCTTGAATGGGTTTATAGTTCAGCAACATGGTCCAGTTATTCCTTCTTTAAGTGAAGCACCTTTTCAAAAGCGTCTCCCTGCAGGCGACATCCTTCTCGATTATCATGTCCTCATACACAATCAAAGCACTTAGGTTGCAATAAAGCTGTTTATGCAGAGGTTACAGAGGCCCAATAACGTGCACGATCAGAAAGAAATAACACACTGAGGTTGCCTCACTTAATCAAATGTGCCAGTGGAAATCGAATCGATCACAGTGCAAACCAATATGATTCCATCTTTTCTTAATCCTGACGAGGTTTGCTAATGCAATTATTATAAACGTTGCTGGTGGGTCGCTACCAACTAGATACACGCGACTAATGTACCCTCTCGTCGAAAACAAACGTTGCTGCACTCAACTTCCCCGTCTCGATGCTCAAACCCTAAAGAGCTTCTTGCAGTGCAATGTAACATCCTTGTTTGGACTCCCTACTCGTTTCCGGAAGGGTTTTGAAACCAATGGTGTCACCTCCTCAAGTTTCAGAGGGTCCATCGTGACATCTGACTTGAAAAAGCTGGTTTGCTTGTCCCTGCAGTCAATATATAAGAACGTCTGTCTGACACCTGTTAAATTTGGTGTTGCGTCAAGGAGCCAAAAGTTTCACGGTGTAAAACGGAAATATCGCCCACATAACCACTCCCAAGAGACCAGCTCACCTATCTTCTCCGCGCTCTATCAGGAAGAAAGTGCAAAGCGCCCTATCGAGTGGAGTTGCTTATTATAATGGCAGAAAAAATTGTTCCCTCACAAAACGGCGGCCAAATGACCATAAGTTTTTTATTATAGGCTTTAGACTTAATCCTGCAAGACTAGCTGCCATTTATTTCGCCAACGATCATTAGTCTAACGTCGCAATGTGTACAAAAATCTAGTTCCAACCGGAATAACAAATGGAAAGTGGTCTGGAAAGATACATTCATTCTCGATGCAAGGTTACAAAGCATACTGCAAAATGCATTCAACTCCCCAGGTATGGTGCTCGTGACTGATTGGCGCTTCAACAGCTTCATATAGTTAACATCTGTTTCTCTATTATGGCCATGTACCGATGTGATAATACTAAACCTGGCATCACACCACTATCCTCATGATCATCAACATGTTCGTGGGCTTTAAACAGCAAACAATGCTCACAGTGGGCATAGCCGATAATCTGAGAGGATAAATTTGGATAGCCACATCATACGTACTTTCAAGTCTAAGTACTGATACTGCGTTTTGCTATTCCATTAGTTAACAGCCACATAGGCGCAACGGTACAGATAAACATGTTTTACAGCATCCGAGGTATCTATGGTTGCGTACCAGTTAAAATATACGGTCAAGGAGGTACTTTAAATCAAAGGAAAGCAGAACATTAGGGATATTGGAAGAGGAAAACTTGTATCCGCGTACCCTCCTTGAGTTCAGGTTCCGCTCTCTCAGGATTCAGTAAAGTGGACGGTGTGGGCACGCAAACACAAAAATGTAACGTAGCATGTCTGAGGTAATGACAGTGTAAGATTGTTAGGACCTAGAAGAGATACAAATATCAAAAATTTCCGGAAGCTTTAAGGTAACATCGTGCAGCTTCCAAAACACTGTCCTGACAGTAAACCAACCTAGATAGGATATTATACTTGGCTGGCCACCTGGTAGCCATGTGTTTTAGGTGATGAAAGCAAGATTATCTAAAGTTTCTTGCTGTTTTCAGTCAACAGACAGGTCAGGAGGTTTGAGCAATACTTATAATTAGCTCACTAAACTTAACTGGGCCAGCCTGTGCAGCACGGGTGAAGTTTGCCTTTTGTAACCGTAAACAGTGCTGTCATGCCTCTACTACAAATATGTACTTTGTAGTTTGCTACGTTGGATCCACGCTTGTATACTCCACAGTGGCCACTTAAAGCCTTAAAAGGATACACAAGGGGCCACTTCAAAAGCTCGTATTAA